AATCTTATTCGGCGAGCAATTTTCCCCAACGCTCGGGCGTGCCCTGGCTGTCAGGAAATCCACATTGTGGTAGCGGCGCCGGGAAACGGGCGATTCTATCATGCTTCGCGTGGATGGTGGTAGGCGGGGCCTGCGACGCCGCCCTTGCGTGCGAGCTATGTTGTCTCGGCTCGGTCAAATCATTAAGGAGATTTCATTAGGAGGATTTCTATTATACTCTGAAGAATATATCGTCAACAGGAGCTAAGCCTTTGCTCCAACGATGACTTGTGCGGTAGAAAACTTTGACATTGCTGCGTGACTCACCGCGCGCGACTTGAGCGGTGCGACCTCGTTGGTTTACGATAGAATCGCCCATCTCTCGCGGCGTTGGGAGAAACGAGCGGTGCGTACAGTGCGAGAAGAAGTGAAGATGAATGCCCGCGCTGCTGCTACTTGCCCGTCACTTACGGTCTCTTTACTGACAATAAGACTGATTGGAAGCACACTTTTGCAAAAAAATACACTTCTCCACAAAGCTCTCTTTAATCGTAAATTAAACCACAATTTAATTAGAAAATCCACAACAATCGAAAGAAATATAATCATATCACAGATAGAGAGATGACTCAGTAATCAAAAACCCCATTTAAATGAATTAGCTAACATTCTGAGCAACTGTATGATTCAAAGCCTAGCTGATTCATGGTTCTCAACAAACCAATCCACAGAGGCTTTCACAGCCTCTTCAAATGGAGTAAAGCGGAAGTCAGGCAGATACTTTCTAAGTTTCGCATTTGAAGCTGTCTTCTTCAACTGACCATCGGCTTTAGTCGTGTCGAATTTGACTTCACCCTGAAAAAATTTTGAGTTAATCATAGTAAAACTAGAAGCACGATCTAAGAAAACGTTCATACTTCGCATTCGCTCAGACCGCGCGAACGCATCGCCTGAGAACTTGGACGGCGGGACCACGATCGAGGGCGATCCACCGCTAACTGGTGGACCGTCTCAATGGCACCGCAGGAACGCAGCCCAATTAGATTTACCGCGCAGTTCATTGATTGATGTCGAAGCGTCTCCGATCGCGGTAGCGCGTTCCAATCGCTCGTGCGATACGATCGCACGGTCGTCGGGTAGCGAAGTATGGAAATGCTCTAGGTAGTAAAGCTGTATTACCTTGAAATCAAACGCTTTCACTATAGCTTTTACCGCATCGGCAATAGTAACCTCATCTTCTTCGGAGACCGATAAAATGATCGGATCAACCTCCTGAATTATTACAATATTTCCAAAATAGTTATGTAGAACGGGGCCAAAACTCACTTCATAACTCCTTAGAACCCAGATAAACAGTCGAGCAAGGTCAAGCGAATAGATAAACTGACGAAGGGGTTTACCCGTTCCAAAGACCTGAACAATCGGGAAGTACTTAAAGGCCAAAACTTCTCGTAAATGACTAACTTCGAGCGGTTTTCCTTCCTTCTTCGCTACATAAGTCTTATGAATCAAAGCAGGAAGAACATGGGCCGATTGAAGGTTATAATTGTCATGCGGTCCGAACACATTGCAGCGGATTACTGAGGTGTACTGAATTCTGTAACGAAATTTAAAAGCAGATTGTGATTTCGAACGCAAGGTAAAGAAAATTCAGGAGAACCACTTTCTACGCGTAAAAATCCCCTTGAGCATAACCACGGTTCAAGACATCAATCATCCGTTTAGCATAAGAATATCCAAAATTGGAATCATGTGGCGGGCCCAGATGAACCTGAATTTTTACTGCTCAGCGAAGAAAATCAGATACTGAGTTGTCCGACGGGTGTAAATTTACACTGGTGGTGACAAACTAACCAGGGAAGGTCTTCAACTTACCATGGAACTTTGAAAGGAGACCTAGGTGGATCGATAGAGTCTGTGAGGCTATTAACAAATATAGATAGCAAAACTGCAACGCGCATTCCACAAGCAAGATATGAGCAGGTAAAGTTTGTAATGGTGCACTAGGGTGGAGACTTGGTGAGGAGCTGCGAAGGATAATCAAGGAATGCCACTCGCATGAACGAGTCGTGGTGGTTCAGTGGTAAGGTTCTCGCTTCGCAGGCACAGCATGCTGGTTCGGATCCCGGAGGTGCAGATGTTTTTGCACCATTGGTTTTTACCTGATTTTTTGACTTGCGTACGGACTGACACCTGGACATCACTTGATTCACGTTCTTGGCGTATATTAACTGCGGAACTTTCTGTGCGTGATGTACTTCATTCAAAACATTGAAAAATCCAGTTGACTTTGCAAAAAACCTGGTAGACCGTTACTCATGCTTCAACACTGATGAAACAATTCAAAAAAATGAGTGAAGCAGATGTGCTGCTCGCACACTGCGCATCTAATGGATGCTGTTTCTCTACAATCGTTGACGAAACAGTCAGACGTTTCAAGGTTGAACAAGTAGTCACCAGGAGTGTCAAAATCTCCTGGATGATGATCAATGTAACCGCTTTGTACCACGAATATTACAGAAAATTAGAGAATCTCGGGGCACAAAACATCCGGTACACTTGCGACAACACCTTCAGTATATTGTCTCTGTGGGTCATGTTGAACGCCACATAATCACCGCTGATTCACCGAAATAAACCACACTTCCACTTTGACCATCAGCACTGTTCGAGCAGCCTTCGTCATCGTAGTGGTCCCAGTCAGATTCAATTGAGGCATCGGAATCCAGGCTTTCATCAGTCTCTGCATCAATTGTCCCTTCGATACCATCACGGAGTATTGCAGCAAATTTGCGGCAATTTTCCTCTCCTCTCGAGTAGCAACAGCGTTGTCCTTTGGCGAACCGAATTCTGCCAGGAGAATGGAGACTACCTTTGCTGGAGAGAACGGCATGGTAAATGATCATAATAATGATCAGTGCCAGGCGTGCCGTGGCGGTAGAACGCAGTGACTGACTTGATCTACCAGGTTTTTTGCAAAGTCAACTGGATTTTTCAATGTTTTGAATGAAGTACATCACGCACAGAAAGTTCCGCAGTTAATATACGCCAAGAACGTGAATCAAGTGATGTCCA